CCCTAAATCTCTTTCAGCAGTACTCCTTCCTAGATAGTCACTTCCCATTCTGTATGAGTGAAACTGACTGGTCTTTCGTAAGTGGAGTACTTTGCATTTGTCCTTATTAAACTTCATCCTTTTTATCTCAGACCGTTTCTCTAGTCTGTCCAAATCATTTTGAATTTTGACCCTTACCTCCAAAGCACTTGCAGCCCCTACCAGCTTATTATCATCTGCAAACTTAATAATTGTACTCTCTATCATCTAAATCATTGATGAAGATATTGAATAGAACTGGTCCCAAAACAGACCCTTGCAGAACCCAACTTGTTAAGCCTTTCCAGCATGATTGCGAACGATTAATAACTACTCTCTGAGAACGGTTATCCAGTCAGTTATGCACCCGCCTTATAATAGCCCCATGTATGTTGTACTGCCCTAGTTTATTGATAAGAAGATAATGCGAGACCATGTCAAATGCCTTACTAAAATGTAAGTATACCACATCCAAAGCTTCTCCCTTATGAAGCAAATGTGAATAACTGTGGGAGGATTTTTGGTGTTGGCAGAATAAGGGACAACTGTGAAAGGCATGATTTGTTTGTAAAAATGGCAGTTAGTGACACTAAAGAAAGAAAAGTATTATAAATAAATACTTTTCCCAGCTCATTTTATATCTGCATGTGCTTTTCAGGATAGCCTAATGAATAACCACTTCAAAAATAAATTCTACTTGGTACCAGGATCCAGAATTGAACTGGGGTGAGAAAGAAGAGTTTATTTCCTTATGCTGTTCTCTGCATCTAAATAATGGAATCTTCATGTAGTTTTCTGTCACTTTTGCAGTAGAGTACCAGGAAAGAGCAGCCCTTTTCAGGCTCACCAATTATCTGGGTGGAATAAGATGCTGTGTGCTGTGCGTATATGATTGTTCCATTTATTTCTTGATTGCTTTCAGTAGTGCAACTATTTCAGCAGCAAAATAGTTCATAATGTTGATATTTAAATTGTCATAATGGAACTTCATTGTTAACACCCATTTAGGTTCACCTCCCTCAGAGCTATTGTTTCAGGCTGTCTGCAGATTTATTTGACTTTATTGTGGTGTCTTACATCCAGTACACATTTTGAAGGTAATGTTCACCACTATAAGATCCAGAGAATTAATTTTAAAAAAATAAATCTTGGCTGGACTTAATGACTGAACTTAATGATCTCTGACTGGACTAAATGACCTTTCAAGGTCCCTTCTAGCTCTAGTATTCTATAGGTGTGTCTAGACTATATGTCTCCGTCGACGGAGCCACATAGATGAGTTTACTAGACATAGCAAAATGAAGAGGCGATTTACATCAAAATGGCCACTGTGCTGTGCCGATCAGCTGATTGTCAGCACAGCGCGGTAGTCTAGACGGGGATAAGCCAGCCCCAGAACCCTTAGTCGTCAGATCCTTTATGCCTCGTGCAGTGAGGCTTACAGGATCTGAGGACAAAGGGTGCTGGGGTCGGCTGATCCCCGTCTAGACTACCGCGCTGTGCCGACAATCAACTGATCGGCACAGCGCGGCGGCCCTTTTGATGTAAATTGCCGCTTCATTTTGCTATGACTAGTAAACTCATTTACGTGGCTCCGTCGACAGACCATGTAGTCTAGACACACCCTATGATAATATGAAGACTGGTTATTTTTTTCAGACATATTGGCCTGAAATTTCTACATATGGGAATTGACAGTTTTCTTATTTGTAGTAAACTGATTTTCTACCCACCTGTAGCAATTTTGAGTAGCCAGCTTCCAGGTGACAATAACAATTTGCTGCTGGATTGGTACGGCCTCCTTCAGTTGCAATCCTGGCACTGGAAGGTTGGTCAAGTTAAGCTCTCCAGATCCACAAAGGCAGTGTTTTTCATGGGAAAATTCTGAAGCAACTGCTAGTAATTCCAGGTTTGCCTGAAAATATGATTCCACCACACTGTGCTAGTTGTCCTACACCAGAAGCACTAGTCTAGGTATAGGAAACCACAACAATTGCAGCATGCAGCAGATAACTCCTTTCTGCCACGAATGAGCTCTCTTCAGTCTTCTCACCACCTTCCATTCAGGAAATATAGCTAAAATGTCACGCACGGTCTTCTGGACCCTGTTGGAAAAACAGTTCAGTTGCAAGTAGAAACAGCTCATCTAATAGTGCTGGGTCCATGACTTGGCATCAGCTGGAACAGAAAGAAGTGTGAAGAGCTGGAAGTGCCTCTAGTAAATGCTATACCCTTTCCCCCCATAACATGCCTTTCAAAATCCAGGGGCCCTACACATGCCTATCACATGTGGCATATCTGATCCAGAGCACAGAATGTCCCGATAACCCCTATGTGGGTCAAAATAGACAATCACTGTGCTCTCAAACAAAGTCACATAAGAAATGATAATAAATAAAAACACCCTATTTCCTGTGGGTGAACACTTTTTGCAAAGTGATCTCTTTCTCTGATTTATTTTCATCCTCAATGGAAACTTGCACAATACTTTCAAAAGATGAGCCTGGGAACTTAAATTCATAACTTTGTTAGACATTAAAATCATGATCTTAATAAAGACACTGGATTTATGCTTCATTACAACAATGGGTTATGCACTAACTCCCCTTTTGTCCTGTGACTGTAGAGATGTCAATGAGCTACTTTAGAATATATGTTAACTACCTGTGATAAATTATCCATTTATCTGTGACCCTTGGGGTATTTTTCCAGACCTGAAAAAGAGCTCTGCATAATTTGAAAGCTCTCTCACCAACAGAAGTTGGTCCAATAAAAGATATTACCACACCCACCTACTTTTCTAATGTCCTGGGACTGTCAAGGCTAATTGCTAATTTCATTAGCTAAGAACAATTCTGAACAGAGGCCCAGGAAGGACAGACAAGTTTTTCCATAATACACCAACCATTCCCACAGAGGCTTAATTTAGCAAGGCACTAAGAATCCTGGGATACGCCCCCAGAAAATCTAGAGCAAAATATATGCAACCACAGTGTCAATAGTGGTACAGAAGAAGGACCATTTATACCTCAGTGTGGCACTTGAACTACAGGCAGTCCCCAACTTATGCGGATCCGACTTATGTCGGATCCGCAGTTACAAATGGGGCTTTTCTCGCCCCGGAGTACACGGGCAGCAGGACCGCGAGGTCCCGCAGTCCGTGTCCTCCGGGGCGAGAAAAGCTGCTCCGTGTCTCCCTGGTCTGCTGGGGGGCACAGCTAGTGCGCCCCCCAGCAGACCAGGGAGACACGGAGCAGCTTTTCTCGCCCCGGAGTACACGGGCAGCAGGACCGCGAGGTCCCGCAGTCCGTGTCCTCCGGGGCGAGAAAAGCTGCTCCGTGTCTCCCTGGTCTGCTGGGGGGCACAGCTAGTGCGCCCCCCAGCAGACCAGGGAGACACGGAGCAGCTTTTCTCGCCCCGGAGTACACGGGCAGCAGGACCGCGAGGTCCCGCAGTCCGTGTCCTCCGGGGCGAGAAAAGCTGCTCCGTGTCTCCCTGGTCTGCTGGGGGGCACAGCTAGTGCGCCCCCCAGCAGACCAGGCTTTTCCTGCCTGGGGTAGAGCAGCTGGGGCTGCTGGGTTGGTCCTGCAGCGCCGCTCCTCGGCGCTACTGGACCTACCAGGCAGCACCCCAGCTGCTCTTAAGTTGAATTTGTATGTAAGTCAGAACTGGCTTCCAGATTCAGCCACTGCTGAAACTGACCAGCGGCTGACTACAGGAAGCCCGAGGCAGAGTTGCTCTGCCCTGGGCTGCCTGGAATCAGCCGCTGATCAGTTTCAGCAGCGGCTGACTTGGGGACACCTGGGGCAGAGCAGCTGGGGTGCTGCCCAGTTGGTCCCCGCAGCGCCGCCCTTGCGGTGACCTACCCGGCAGCGCCCCAGCTGCTCTGTCCTAGGCGTCCAGATTCAGCTGCTGTTTAAACTGATCAGCGGCTGATTCCAGGCAGCCCAGGGCAGAGCAACTCTGCCTCGGGCTTCCTGTAGTCAGCCGCTGGTCAGTTTCAGCAGTGGCTGAATCTGGAAGCCAGTTCCGACTTACATACAAATTCAACTTAAGAACAAACGTACAGTCCCTATCTTGTACGTAACCCAGGGACTGCCTGTATTAATCTTTTCTGCGTTGTCTTTTTCTGTTTCTTTCCATGTCAGTTAAGTCTTCTTGTTTGTTTATTTCCTTTTTTCTCCCACATCTTCCACTTCTAACTGTTTGGTCTTTTCTTTTATTTGTTTCTTCAGCAACTGGATAGTAAAACTAATTTGTTTTGTCAAATGGATTATGCACTGCACAGTGCTTATAGCTGTATTGCTGGGTCAGAATCACCAGGAGACTGTATAGAGACTCTAGATACTAATTGTGAGTAAGTGCTATACACAGGCACATGCCTGAACATGTATCTGCTTTAGGGACAAAAATATTTGGAGCCAGATTTTGGAATCCATAATCAAATTGCCATTTTTAAACCTTTTTTATAGATAAAATGACAACTAAAACGATGCCCTTGATTGATGCACAGTTCTCCAATTCATGATGCTGTTCTGCTGCAAATCAAAACACAGAATGTGGCTTAAAAGTATGTCCGTTTGTAGGTTTTTAAATAGCTTTTTATCTTCTGCCATACCACTAGCCATTTTACATACTGAATGCATTGGTTTTGTTCTATCATTACAGACAGTTGTAATAAAAGTATTCTTCTATAACTTGCTGTTTGCTGAAACGATCATGTACTATTTTTGAATTCCTACAAGCAAACTTAAAAAGCTTTATTATATTGTATATGTCTTACATTTAATACTTAGTAGATTATTCTACTAGTCATCATTGTTATCTCACACAACATGCATTGTTGTACACATAGCAATATACGACAATATTTGAAACTTATTTCCAAATGAAAGTTTATCGGAATGATTTTGTTCTGCATTTGTGTCCAAACTGTTTACTTTCAGTGAGATATTTTCAATGTCTTTGGTTTTTCTTTGCAGATCTTGGTCACGGAACTTAAACAGTCTTTGGATACATGCTTCTACAAACTTGGTGAAGATATACTACAAACAGGTACTGTATAGAATAACTCCAGATTTGGTCTTAAATGAGTTGGTTATTGATCTAAGTTTTTATGATTATTTGTTGTAATATTGGACTTCTTAAATGCCCTGAAAAAAATCTCAGTTTGTCATTAATGGAGTAATATGGTAGGTCTTTGTATGGATGCTAAATTTTCAGTAATGTATTTAGTTTTTGTATGGGAAAATAAAGATCTGCAAGATGTGCACAGTTGTTTAGAGAGAAAATTGTACAAGTTTAATGTAAAAGCAGATGCAGTTGTGCGTGTGAATGAGTGTCTAGGCAGTGGAGTTAAGATATAGTCCTGCATTTTAACCCCAATCTTCTGAATACTAACTTAACTTGGTTTATACATGTATTCTTGTTTATTGCAACTGGAATTATTCAAGGTAATAACATTAAACATATGAGTAAATGTTTGTAGATTCGGATCTATAGAGGGTGAAATCCTGGCCCCACTGAAGTTAATGACAAAACTCCCATTGACTTTAATGTGGCCTTGATTTCTCCCAGAATGCCTGTGAGGAATGCGTAGGCAGTTTCAAAAATATGTATATTCATATAATTAAACAAGTATTAGATGATTTCGAATTACTCAGGTCTTAAAAGTTGGATCACACCTTGTGACACTTGAAAATGTTGCTTTGATACTGGAGATGAAGAATATGAAACAAGAAGATGTAGAAGAGTTTATTCATCCAAAAGGATTTTCAGAATTAGACAATCTTCCTATTTAATATCTGAAGAGGAAACGGTTTTTCAAATATATGGATTTGACAAACGCTTTATTTGATCTGTATGAGGAGCTTACAAGATTTACAATGGGAAAGGAAGGATTGTTCTTATAAAATAAAACTAAGGTCTTGACATGAATAATTGGACATGGGTAAGGTCTTATTTTTGGGGGGACAGGCTAAGGAAGGTAAATGGATTAGCAGGCTAGAAACAGAATATCTGTACTAGCTATAATAAGGAGGGAACATCCAGAGGATGATTTACAATGGACAGGATAACAATGAGGGAGAAGTCTGGAATGTAAAATGTAATAAAGAGTAAGTCATAGAAACTTAGAAAATTATGGTTGGAAGAGACTTCAGGAGATCATCTAGTCCAACCTCCTGCTTAAATCATAGCCTATCTCAACTAACACTTTCCAGACAAAAAGTCACACAAGGACAGTGCATGTTGTATAGTGATTGATTTCTGCAGTGATGAAGCCCACCCCAAAATGTTTGATGAAATGTATTTGTAAGTTTCATTTGTAGATTTTAGTATATTTTGAAAAGTTGGAGAAGTTTCATTATTTACATTTTCAGAAGGATAAAAATATGATTTTTTAAATACAAATAATTTTTATATGTAAATTAAATTAGATTTGTTTATTTAAATTTAATATTTTTGTTTATTAAATACATACAACTAAATCTGAAATTTACAGCCTATATTAAGGTCTAAACTTACTTTAATGTAATAACATGATTTAAATTAAACATAATATTAAGCAGTACGTATTTTGTGCCAAATTTTAAAGAAACACAAACCACTGAACTTGTGGAAGTCATTTGAAATCACTTTGTTGAAGTGTTAAATAGACTTTGAACAGCAGTAACCTCTTCTGAAGGTACTGGGAATATTTTGTGCTTTTCATTGTATTTAACTGATTCAGGTCAGTCATTAGTTCTTTCAAAGTTAAGAAACCAGCAGTGACTTGGACAAAAGCAAGAAAGCCTGTTTTTCCTCTTCCAATATGTGGATAAAATTTAGCTGTAAGAAGATGATATCTACTAATTTTAAAATCTTGAAACACAAGGTGATCAGAAACAATCATTTCAATTCACTAACTACAGAATAGTGGCTTTGAAAGATAAATAAACTGTTTTTTAAAGTAGGTCCATTTAAAATACATATCATGTTTTGATAAACATTTCTCCTTATGTATCCAGCACACTGAATGTAGTTAATTTAATTAATTAAAATGCTATTTTGTGCATTTTAATTAAATTTCAATTTCTGTCTTAAGAGAGCTTGACAGAAATTGCAAGTAAAACTTAGTCATCTATTTAAACAAGATATGCAACATTTACCATGAAAACATATGTAAAAACATTAAAAAATGTAAAATTTAAGAGTCTGAATAAATGTATACAGCCAGTCCCCGAGTTGCGACCAAAGCTGTCGTAAATGGCAGACTCCGAGTTACGAACATGGTCCGCACTTTCGAACAGCATGGTCGTGTGTAACTCAATGGGGTCCGACTTACAAATGAACCGAGTTATGACCAATTGCTTGGTCCGTAACCGGTTCGTAAGTCGGGAAGAAGATGTATTCAAAAAGCTGTTTGTTTTAGTAAGTGTTGTAGAGGTGCAGGAGTGTCTCTATTGTTAAGGTTCCTTGACACTTTTCTTTAAACCTAGACCTTTCTAAGTCCTGTAAACTTGACATGCATTATCAGAGTCTTTTGAAATTTGGTGCTGTTCAGGAGGGTTCAGGATAGAGATAATGATCCAAATTTGGGATCATATAAAGTAAGGGTTGTGGAGATAAAAATCCTGAAAAAATAGCTCTTTTTTTTTCTAGAGCTAGAAATTAAACTGCTGATTTGATGTAGGTCAAAATCATCTCAATCTAAGTAGTGTATGATACCCACTCATTGGGAGGGCCCAAATTGAGCTTGATGCGTAAGAACATGCTGCTTCTTTGCTTGCATAGATATGTACTCCAAAGGGATTATATTGTGCATGTTCCAGTTAAAAAAAGTTGAGGGGGTTTCTATGCATCAACTTTACACTTGCCTAGTTAGTTTAAGGGAATGTGCTAGTGTCACTGCCTCTGGTGAACATCCCACCATTGACATTTCTAATCTGTACATTTGTGCAATAAACATTTAATTACGCATGGTGCTTGCTACAAGTTGTCTCTGTTATAATGTGTTTTCATTTTCTGGGGAAGTTTGCTGTGAACATAACAGAATAGTCTGCAGGCCCCAACCAAAATGTTTGTTATATCAGTGTGACAGATTGCCCCTCTTTAAGATACTGTCTGATGTACTGGGATACCATTGAGCTTGCCAGTTTTGCCAGTCTGGACGTGCACACAGGCAGGGCCTCATCCAGTAGGAAAAAGACACAGACACTGAGATCAACTCTGTGAAGACTCAGCTTAAGGGATTTATCCCAGCACTTGGGGCCTACCTCCCCTGGAGTGCAAACCTAAAGGTATGTTATAAAATCCACCCCTCCCTCAATGTGGAGGAAGGTATACACAGCCTCTTACCCGCCACACTATGAGTTGCACAAAGTGAATTTAATAATAAAACAAATGTGTTAACTAGAAAGATTAGATTATAAGTGAATATAAGAAATAACAAACAGAGCAAATCAGATTATTGAACAAATAAAACAAAATATGCAAGCTAAGCTTAATACACTCCAGAACCAAGTTATAAAATGTAATTTCTTATTCTAAATGTTATTTTAGAATAATGTTCTAAGGTTTCTGTAGCTTGGAGTTTTTGGATCCCTTGCTCAGTCTGGACTCCTACTTTCCTTTTGATGTATTCAGCAATCTTTCTTCTTAGGCAAATGGGCAATGGAGTTGAACTTGTTAGCCATCCTCACATCCCATAAAATAAGATTTACGTAAGGCAGGAATCTTTTGTTTCCTGAACTTGAATCCCCTCTCCTTTTAAGAAAAAATTACAAGACGTCTAAGATAATGGTTAGTATCAAGTGAGAGGACCACCTTACCTAATAGTATTACAGCTATGTCCCAGGGCACCTCTCAGGAAGGAGAGAGTTTAGTATCTTCACAGTCTTGCTGTTTCTTCCCACTGGCCCATATAGCTTATTGTCTGTTGTCTGGTGGTTGTCTCCCAAATACACACCCAGTTGTAATTGTTACATAGTCCATATTCCTACCTTTAGATACACAATACAACATAAAATTGGATAATCACATTCAGTAAATCATAACTTTTCCAATGATATCTCACATGACTCATCTTGCATAAAATATTTCTTAGTTATGCCATATTCATGTTAAAATAATATTCCTATGAAGAATATGGGGTGTAACATCACAATCATGTGGTGAGGAGCCAAACACAGGACTTAATATGTGCATTGGGGAGGAGGGTGGCAGAACGAGGACAGGGGAGAAGGGTGTGGGGAAATGAAAATGGGTGGGAGGCAGGCCTTAGACAGGTTATTTGAGACAAAAATCTGTACTGTAAGCCCCTGAAGAGGTGTGTGACGGGGCAAGGCAGCCCCGCACTGAACCTACAGGGCCCAGCCAGGGTTACCTGGCTGCAGAGGCCCCTCCCCCACAGCCCTACCGAGAATGCCCGGGCTGCAGCAGGGCTATAAAAGCCTGGGCCAGGACTCAGTCTGGGGAGACAGCCGAAGGAGAAGGACTGGAGAAGGGAGCTCTCCCTCAGCGGTTGCCAGGGACTCCAGGAGAGGCCGGAAAGAAGGCGGAGGCGAGTTGGTGCAACCCGGAGACTGCCTGCCGAGGGGACGCTGGCCTGGAGATCGCAGCCAGCTGGCCAAGTCCAGGGGAAGGAAGCCCGGGGATCCAGGTAGGAAGTGGCCCAGGGCAGGAGCGGGAGCTGCCCCTTCAGGCCAGAGGGCCTTCGCCCTGCTTAAAGAGCCAGCTATAAACTGTTTTGTGGACTCAGGCCAGGGGGCTTTAGCCCTGCTTAAAGGGCCAGCTGTAAACTGTGTGGACTCAGGCCAGAGGGCCTTCGCCCTGCTTAAAGAGCCAGCTATAAACTGTTTTGTGGACTCAGGCCAGGGGGCCTTAGCCCTGTTTAAAGAGCCAGCTATAAACTGTTTTGTGGACTCAGGCCAGGGGGCCTTAGCCCTGTTTAAAGAGCCAGCTATAAACTGTTTTGTGGACTCAGGCCAGGGGGCCTTAGCCCTGTTTAAAGAGCCAGCTATAAACTGTTTTGGGGACTCAGGCCAGAGGGCCTTTGGCCTGGCTTAAAGGGCCAG